TCCTGACATCCCAATATTATTTCTATTCTTTTTTATTGTGGTAGTCATTTTGCTGCTAAGACATTATGTCTTTTCTTTTTTGTTGTGGTAGTCAGTTTGTTGCAAAAACAAAGTCAAGCCATCTTTTGCTCTTGCTTTTATATTTGAATCCCAAAGACCAATTTTTTTATCCTCATTTTTCCCACTTATTTGTGAATCACTGCATCTTTCAGAATATGAATCTGTAGAACATGATGCTCTTAGGTATAAAGCAAAAGGAAAAATCCTCTTAGCCATCTCCTGAAAAGTCATAGAAAAAGAGCCACTGGAGAGGCTAACCTACATACTGGATAGTGTCCCTTGAACAAAGCAAAACAGTTTGGATATTTTCTGTAAATTACTGAGGCAATTCTGTGAATTATTGAGATATTACCATTGAAGATAGGACACACAGGTATAATCCAGAATGCTTTCTATTTCACATTTTATTCTTTGGCTGACCTTTCCAACATGCCGTGCTCAAATGTTATTACACTTACTCCCCTGACTTGCACAAAACTACTTTTCGTTTTCTTTTTTAATGCCCATTTCATATGATTTTTGGGCATGGGTGATTTAAAGCTATAAAAGAACAGTTTGAAAAAAGCCATAATTAAAGATAGTTCATAACCTATCCCTCTGGAGAAAAGCATGGTAAAGTACATGTTCTCTGCAGTGAGAAGAACTGCATGAGGAATGCACATTGATCCTGGAGTTCAAGATTCTGTAATTCTGCCCGATAAAAGCAGAAAGCGAATTTAAGAAAGGAATACTTGTGATGACTTGTTGGACCTGTCTTAACTTATCTCACCTGCTGGTCTGATGTACCAGGAGAGACTGATTTCTTGGAAAGAATATACCAAAAGGTATCTGGCCTCATTTTCTAAATCAGCAGGCAATGTGCTCTATATACATGCACACTGTGGGGATTCCAGATGTTAAAGTCCCCAAGAGATGGTTTCCTGGGGGAACAGGCTTAATGTTTTGCACTCTGTGAGCAAACTTCCCAGACCTCTTTCCTTTATAGTACAGTTCTGTATTTCAAGCAGAAGTCAAACAACTCCCCTTCTTCTCCATCTGAAAAACAATTCCTGGTAAACCATGGAAAACTATCGTTAAGTTCTTAACAAGGTAGACAACTTGCACTCTCTCCTACTGCATTTCACATGAATGAAAAAAAATTCCAACACTTTGGGAACTGCTAATGGCAAAAAGTGCCTTTCTGGAATTTAAGCTCCCTAAGACACAACAGCAATAAATTAAAAAAAAAAAATTGCCTCTGCTACTGCAAAATTATCTCTTCTCCAGGAATATCACTCTCCTTTCCTCTCTCAGCCCGTTAATTTTCCTCTGAATGGTTCTTTGACCTCCACTTCTGTGGCTCAAACATTGCAAATTTCAAGATCTACCCTAAAATAAAGATGGAGCGGACAATATGACTAATGAAATAGAAACCAAATTTTTTTTTTTTATTAATGATGCAGAATTGTTTTTAAGAGTCTTTGTTTGTTTAGAAGCTTGACTCAATGCAGGCAGTGGGCATCAGTGATTCCAAGCAAAGGGGTAATGTGTATTGCATAAAGGATCCCAGAAAGGATAGTGGTTTTATTCGATGTAGATTGCCATGATCTGTTCAGAGCAACAAAGAAATAAATGGTGTGACAGCACCAATCTTTTTGAGTAGAGCTTCTCCTCAACACCTTTTATGTCCTGTTTGCTTTAGATGGGAGGAATTTTAACCACTGAAACCCTCTTACAGCACTATGATTTGTCTATATGAGGCAGTACATGTCCTCATAAAAATTGTTTAAGACCCCCAAAAGTACCATTGTGACTCCAAGTTTCACGTAGAATGGATTCTTGGTGTAAATGAATTCTATGGCAAAAGGTTGTTAATATGTGTTGAGTTTTTAAAAATTAAACAAAATAATTGAAGTTCACACTTTCTAGAGCCTCATTTTACTATATTAAATAACATTTGGGAGTTCAACTATGCCAGTGTTGAATCCCAGGCATCACTTTTGTGTCATAGTGTAGAAGGCAAATTTCCCCATTTCTTGGCTGGAAATTTTATTAGAGACATCCTGAGAAAAGTTCAATAAATTTTTCTCCTTATGGTAGTTCTGCTTTTGGGAATAACACTGTTGGTGCTTTGCTGTCAAAGCTTTACATTAAGAAGATTAAAAAAAATTTCTGCAACAAATTAATGAACTGCTGAAAGTCTTTGTTCCATACCTGTGCTGACACCTTGAGGGTAACCAAAGTTATGTGTTCTAAATTTAGAAACCTAATGAACTAATTTAAGTTCATGTACTGTCCATTTATCAAAAGAAAGAGAAACAAAATCATTGTGATAAACAGGAAAATTACATGGAGGCTCACATTGACTTGTGTGCTCAGGGCCTAATATTTAGCTATACCAAGGGCAGGCTCTGAAAACTAGTTGTGCTCTTCCAAACACAGACAATGGAGGGAGAAGGGCCACTGATTCTATTCCTTATCTAGTGCAGAAAGTCTGGATTCAGTTTCTTGCTCTGCCATGACCACAAAAGTTTCAGTGATCCTAGAAAGATCTTTTTCTCGAAAATTATGAGGCAGCCAAAGTATTTGCCTCTGCAAATGCAAATACCTTCTCTTGATCTTTCTTGTTCTAACATTAATTCACTGTAAAACTGCATGCACTTCAGAAACTTTTGATATGCACTTTAGAAACTCCTTTTTTTTATTTAAGCACTGTAGATAGGCAAACTGAAATTGAGTCTTTCTAACAGCTAGACAAGAGCATACGGTCCTATATGCCTTTATAATTTTTTGAAGTCCGTGTGAAGGATGGGCAGAATTGCAGTCTCTCCACTTAATGTGGAACAGGAATTGTTCTCCAGATAATACCCCTAAACGGGCAGAGAAGAAATGACAGCAACAGGATGAGACCTTGGCACCAGACTTTCTTGTCTGCCTGCAGGAAGGGAATTGTGCTACAACAGTTCCATATGGGATTTGTGCTTCTCCTCTCTTAATTGGAAATTGTAGGTTCTCCTGGGTTGGTAAGGTACCTGTTTCCTGCATTGAAGGCTTGTGCAATTTAGATACAATTTGGGCCTCCAGTTTCCTTTGAAAACTACACTCATATATGAATATCTAGATAGAATGAGCTTCTTTTTGCGTGTATATGAATTGCATTTATATGCAATGCATATTGCTTATACATACCAATATGTATTTATACCTCTGTGGGTTGTAACCGCAAAAGATCGTGATTTTCTTTTTGCTATATCTGGACATGTTGATTTGCAATGAGATACTCCTGAAATCTCATTCTGATCATCATTTACAGGTATCCACTGTTTGGCTTGCTTATGAGACAAAATTTCACAGGCATTTTAGACTCTTAGGAACCTGCAGGTGTCAAAGTCTCCTATTGTCTCTGGAGAGTGTACTGCAAAACAGTACACTAGCCAAGTCCAGCTGGGGCATGCAAGGCAGTGTAGGAATTTTATTAATTGGAATTTTATTCACTGATAATCTGTTACGTGACCGTGAAGACTGTCCTTTTCTTTTCTATGGTACCACTCTGAGTGCTGTACTTTCCCAAGATAAACATTGCTGCTCTGTGTTGAGACTGGGCAAGCTTATGTTTGAGTGAACTGCTTAGAGACTGTGACAAGAGAAACAAGACTGGAGACCCATGCCACCCGCTCCAGCTGTTTGAAAGTGCAACTATACTCCTGTTTTACAATGCTGTTACATCCCTGGTCTTTCTTCAGTTCATGTATCCACCAGTCCTGGACTGCACTGCATTTTTTTGAGTTTGTTTCTTCTAAAAAGAATATAATGATCAGAATGAAGGCAATACATCAAAATTCACTGAATATTAAATATTGTTCTCCTTTGTCATATTCAGAAATTTTAGTAAAACAAAGCCTTTATTACACTTTTGTATACCATCAGCTGGAATCATCATGAAAACAACATGCCATTTGCTGTTTTGTCAGACCTGCAAGCGGTTGCAGAAGTTACACTCATTTTTGGTCCTTAGGGAAATTCAACATATATGCCTTATAATCTTAGAGAAGAAGACACTGTAACATAATTTCAGTTTGTTTTCCCACTGACAGGTTTTCAGGAACTAAATGAAAAGTAACAAGACCATCTAGTGTTGGGGCCGTTTCATCTGCTTTATGTGTATCACAGATATCATGATGCCCTTGCAGACTCAATGAAACTCCATCTAATGAGCCATTCCTCAGCGATCAACATGGATTCCTAACACCTCTGCTTGGATTTGGCATTAATCCTCTCTGCTTCACCTGTATTTACCAGTGTTTCAGAAGCTTGTGACACCTAGTCGCATACTCTAGCATGTCTGCACAATTGACTTGATAATCTGAAACTTTTAGGAAAAATCAGCAATGAAATAAAATAACATAGATATATTTAGATCTGACAAATACACTGTGACTAATTGTGCCTGTCATTTTAGTCATGTCATTTTAGATCCTAGATCTCCTAGCATGCAGTTAGAAGAAAACCCATATTGTACTGAAGGAAAATTTCCTAAGAAGAATAGTAAAAAATATTAAATTTCAGCAGCATTTAAATCTATGTTTGCAACATTGCAATAGGGATAGACTAAAGCAGCACTAAGGCACACCTATGAACTTTTCCCTCTCTGACACATGAAGATTTCCCCAACCCCTCCCCTTACTAAATGCTTCTTTAATTTTCCTAAAGTGCAGTTTGTGTTTTATGTTAGGACATGGTGATCCATCTAAATGCTGTGCTGGCAAAGCAAATATGCTTTTACCTCTAGATCATATACCTGGTTATTCACTTCTTCCCTCTTCTCCTTTAAGTTCATGCAAGGAAAGTTCCTGGAGAATTTAAGAATCATTTACTACCCCATTCACTCAAGGTAAAATCATACCCATGAATATTTCTCCAGTGAAGGTCTAAAGTCATGAACTACTGTCTTCTTTCTGCAGATGAACTTGAATGTCACAGAGAGAGTGACAGGAATTATCCCAGAATAAGAAGAGATTATCTTAACCAGGTCTGTAGTTTTTTTCTTCTTTTATTTTCCTATTCCCTTCCAAAGATCAGCTGAAGTTCATATGATTTCAAGATTAATGTTTCAGACCCGTGCAAAATATGGAAAACTGAACATTAGGTAGTAGAGTCCTTAAAAAATATTAAGATATTTGTTAGAAAGGCTTTTAAGGCTAAAATAAATTTTCTATATACATAGCAATGCTAAAATACCATAATAAAATAAAGGATTTAGGGGATTTACACAAGTAAGAGATACAGTGAGATGGATAGACAGATTCAAGATATCTCATTTTTCCATTATTTCCACATTTGTGTTGATAGTCTGCCTGTTTGTGCTATCACAATAAACCTAACTTCTGTACTGATTTGTAATAACAAGGGGAGGAATAAGAATTGAAAAAAAAAAAAAAGAAAAGTAATTAGAATTATGAGCCTACCTTTTTGCTTTTTTTATACTATTGGGTTTGATTTCTTTCCTATAATATTTCCCTTAACATTTTTGCTTTTCTGAAAGCTTCGCCCACCTCAAATCTTGCTTTTAAAAAGGCCCTCTTAAAAGTTTCTTAAGCTTCTCATTCACATGGAGAAAACAGATGGGGAAGGGCAGACATCTCAGTGAAACACGGTCCCTCCCTCCTGCCATGGCATCCTGCTGTACTGCCTCAGCTTGGAAAATCTGCCCTCTGTAACTGATTCCTTCCTTTCCATGAATCAAATAGGTAGTCATCTGAAATCATGTTGGGTCATTCCTGGAGCTGTGGGAAAAATTAATTTCCAAGTAATTTTCTCTATACCACCTACAATGAACAGTAACATTTTACAAAAATGGGAAGTAATTAAGACTTAAATGAATGTATTTCCTTCCTCAAGGTGGACTTCTGCTTCTAGATTTTGATAGAACTGCTTTATTATCAAGCTTCTGATTGTTCAATACAGTTAGAGTCCTAGAGTGGATGCTGGCAGAGACCTGTGAATTTTATTAATGATTGAATAACTAATGAGAAAATGCTGTAGAACTTGCAGATTTTTAAATAATTCACACCTTAGAAGACTTCTGCCCCCTTTTTTTTTTTTTTTCTGATTGCAAACAGAATATGCTTCAGCTGAGACATTTTCTTACTGATTTGATTTCTATACAATATTTTTTTCTGCTGCTCTGGAAATCAAACACTTGGATGACACAATAGGCCCCCTTCAAACTATGTGAAGCACAGCACAATCTGTTTAATTTCAAGCCAAGATGACCCAATTGATGTAAATCATAAAATCACTAAATTTACTGCTATTTATAAAATTAGTCACCCGCAGCATCGTTCTGGATGAAGTCTAGTGCTTGAAACAATGTTGAAACAGTGATGTCAGCACATGAAATATAGACAACATGGTGTTTCCCTGAGGTGCTTGGAAGTGGCACATCTCTTACCTTGAGCATGGGGAACCCTTTCTAGTCATTCTGAACCAAATGTGGAAAGACAATAAAATCCTTTCAAAAAAGAAGATATTTTATTTCCTTAACAATATTTTATATCTTTCTGTTCTTTTCAGATATTGAAAATGACAAAATTGCAGTTAGAAATTTGAAGATTAATATCAAAATTTTTCAGACCAAAAGGACTTGACAAAATGCAATTTTACATTTTCTTTTGTGAACCAAAATCTGTCTATGATATCAGGTTATACAAACCTAGAAAAATAGATCCACAGAAAATGATGGGATTTATCTAGTATATGATTTCTGTTTACCCAGAGTAACCATGACTATGTTGTTTTGCAAGCAAAAAAAAACCATTATATGACTTTCTCCTACCTAATTTTCTGTAGCTAATATGAAAGAAAGAAAAATTTTGCAGTTTTCTATTTCCTATGATAACAATTGCATTGGCAGTTTTGTTTTTCTCTAGCGGCTGCACACAGTGCTATCACTAAGTGATCTCCTGTAGCATTAATAGCAGCAACTTAGTGTACAGCTTGAATAATTGCCACTCAGTGGTGCAAAATTTACATTCATATGGGTGAAAACAGAATTTGTCCTACTGAAGTCCTTTTCTCTCAGTAGCCGTTTGACCTTATAAGGCAGAAGATGCTTTGTGCCACTAAGAGATGCCATTTTACTGGATATGAATTGGTTAAGCAGTGCTGTGCTAAAGCTGTTGACATTAAGAAGACCTGTCAGCTGATTTAGTTCAAAGCAATGTAGCTTAAATGTCAAGTGTGTATATATATATATATATATATATATATATATACACATATACATATACACATATATATTTACATCTGCAATTTAGAAAGAAAATTGTTTAGAAACAGCTTACTGTACCTTGCACAACAGAGACCTGAAAAGTGAACTGATGATACAAACGTCAACAAAATAGTTTCAATGGACTTATTTAATGCATGGGTGACTCTCAGTGTCAGAATGTCAAAGTCTGGCAAAAAAAACATTGATTTCTGGGGTAAAAAAAGCTTGATTTTCATTTTACTTAGTGTTGCAATTCTGTGTGAACAGGCAACACTATGTATCAAGAAAAAAGGTGGTTCTGCTAAAGAAGGTTGCTTCATCATTAATTTTGGTTGATTCACTAATCTTCTAAAAAGTCATGCATCCAATAATGGAATGAAAACAGTCACTGAATTCATGGAAGTCTGAAATATCATGAGGAGTTGACACCACTTTGACTGGGGCCCTAATTTATACACCTCTCATTGCTAATCTAGGCCAAGATCCTTTTTTTGACTAGCTCATGACACTAGTTGGAATTGACTAATCAGTGCACTTTTGGTTCATGCTTGAACCACAAAAGATAAAGGGACTAAAAATCAAGGGACAAGCAAAGCAATATTCTTAGTGGAAAGGAAAAAAGTAAAAAAAGGAACAAAGATCAAACAAATATAACTAATTTTTATTTTGTATTTCTCTGAAATATTTCAAGGAACCCCAAATTAAATGTTATGCATTGTTTTCAGCTTATTTATACCTGAAGGAAAGAAAATTCTGAAATGATTAGTTGTATTAAAATTCAGACCAATTAAAGTTCTTTTTGAATAAGCATGCATCCAACTGTTTATCAAATCTGAAAATCATTCCAAAGTAATTTTTTGTATGCATATATTTTGGATTTTGCATTTTTAAAGTAATTTTATTAATATTCCTAAAATGACAGGTACAGAACTCTCTGACCAGAAATAAAGCTTTTTTTGGCTCCCGTTTTCTGTATATTGACTTATGTCCAGAAATATTAAGAATTTGTCCCATTGCTTTGTGTCTTTCTCTTCTAAATCTTCAGGGTTTCAACAAACTGTAGATTCCACCTGCTTTGAGCAGGAAATTGGTCTAGGCATACTGGGATCCCTTCTGATCTGACCAATTTCTGTCTGTATTACCAATGTTGGTAAACACCTTTTTAAAGTTCTTTTTTTTGTACGCCATCTTCTTCATTACAGAAAAAATAAGACAAATATTTCACCCATCGCAATAAACAGTCTTCATCATGCAATTTCTTAACTTATATACTGAACTAACATAAATCAGAGGAACAGAAATTCACTTATTAGTGTGCCTGAACTCTGACATGCCAGGCTACCATGAAGAGCAAGAAAATTGCTTATTTTACTGCCTGCTTACTGAATCCTAGGCTGATCCAGCAGGGACATCAGTGTAACTTGAAGATTCACACACTTGAGATAACAGCAGCAATTCCACTAAGAAGCACCAATTTTCGCAGTGGGACCCATCACCTGCTTTCCTCAACGTCTCCCTAAAGCAGCTGGCAAAATCTATCTGCACTACATGTGTTAGTGCCAATGAGATAAAGTGGAAAAGAGATCTCATCTGCTTTGTACCACTTTTAGGAAGGAGTTGGCAGCTTGTTTCCATTGCCCAGAAGGAGAGCCTGCATAGTTACTGTAGTCCAGGCAACTAACTCTTCTATTGCCAAACTTAGACTGTGTGCATCTCATCTTCTGTTCCTATTGTATAGATAAAGCTGAATATATGGAGTTTAATGTTTGCATTGTGGATCCCCAAAATCTTGGACTCTTTACACCTATAAAACATTCCAGTACAATATCCCTGATGAAGATATTGAGAAAAAATGAGACACTTACTCTAGTCCAAGGCCAGAATCAAAATTTCTACTCTAGAATGGCCATAAATAAATGATCTCAAAAGCTTTCAAAATATCATTAAAGATTTTATTCCTATTAGTATTTTCAAGGTATAAAGGAGATGAAATAATGATATTGTACATCCTCCTTAACCAAAGAAAATCAAATGCTTTTACATTACCACAATTTAAATAGTGTGATAGATACCTAGTTTCAGTGTTAAGTATGTATTTCTCTGTCTGTGAAGACATTAAAGTCCATCTATTGTGACTTCTATTAAGTAGAAAAAGATTAATGCCTATTCATCTGAAGAGTACAACAACAACAAAAAAAAAGAAAAGATGATAAATTAGATAAATCACTTTAACTTCAATTCACAGAATAAGTCTGGAGCAGTTTTCAGAACCTAGAGAACAACGAGAGAACCAGAAGCCAACATAAATTTTCCAAGAATAAATCAGGGCAAAATAATTCACTCTTTCAATGACTGGGTAATATGTCCTGTGGACAGATGAGGAGCAGAGGAACACATGTACCTTTACTTGAGCAAAATTTTTTACTCAGTCTCTGTTGATATTCTCATGTCTGAAGTAAGAAAAATCCGTGGGCACAAAACCACACCATAGAGGAATTAATAAAAATCTAATTATGCTCAGGGCTCTGTGGGGAGTCTGCCTTAGATCTGCTTCTGTTCAAGGTTTTCTTTAGAAAAACAGATGATGGAATAGTCAAAATGCTCATTAGTTTTGTATCTGATACAGTGTTAGGAAGGACCCTAAATGTGTTGGAGGATAGCAATAAAAATAAAAGTCTGCAGACGTGGACCAGAAACATAGTATGGAACTCAAAGTAGGAAAGGAATAGCGGCAAGGTTAAGAGACAGGGCAAGATAGT